GAACGTAGAAAATTGTTACAGTTCTTTGCCTCGGGAATTCTGATTTGATGTGTGTCTGGTACTAATTAGGAGAGTTCAGAATGAACACAAAGGAAGATAATTACATTGTACAATTTCATATCTAGAATAGACTTTGCTAACGTTTTAGTATGATTTGATAACAAATTATGCATGTAAAAGATCAAAAACGGAAAAATATGTCATGAATTACATTTCGAAAAATAGAATTATTTCGAGAAAATAAACAAAGTAGAAAAAAATTTGAACAATGACGACCAGTTCTAGACGAAAAAACAAACTTAAATTAAATGAGTAATTAAACATGTTTTTTTGTCCTTATTAAGCAAATGAGTTTTTACGTAAACAACTTTTTAAGCAAATTATAATTCACATTAAACCTTCAACATCCGATACAAATACGTTACTAATTAGACGGTTGCATTAAGGAGTTAATTATTTAATTAGCCTTGCTGATGAGATTCTGGACGGTATCTTAAATCTTATATCTTCCGGCATGGCCGCACTGTGACGCGGACTGATCGAACGTATGCCAGTCGTCCGTCTCACGGAGTCTGCGGACACGGCGTCGCCCTCGTTGTGATACGGTGGAGGTTAGGTAGGATGATAGGGTAGAGTCGGTGTTTATTTGCATTAAAGTGTATCTACATTTTTCAGAAAATATTTTTTGTTTGTTAATTCCTTATAAATCTGTTTAGATATAGGCATATTAGTTATATGTGGCGGTATGACGATCAGTTTCTTCCAGTCTACCCCCCCCCCCCCCTCGAACGAGATGGATTTTATATAGTAAACATAGGTTTTTACTAGTGTCCGCCCCCCCCCCCCCCCCGAAAAATGTTGACCGCCCCCCCCCCCTTAAAATATCAAGTCCCCCCCCCCCCCCCCCGGAGAAAAAAGTCTGGAAGAAACACTGATGACGACGCGGCAACGTACAAATAAATAAAAATGGTAGCTGCGGCAGCGTATGAATGCTAGCTTAAAAGTCTCGAGTTCGGATCCAAGGCTCATGAGTCCACCCAGCTCTGTCTAACATTAATGAAAAACATGGCTTCTATGCACAGAACTAACTGCACTATCCCCGTATATGCGATTTCACATAAATAGATTAACTCTACTTCAACTGACATATGGACCTCTAGATCCGAAAGGGTAGCTAACCAAACATTTTAGCGAGTTCCTTGATGGATTTGGGTTTTTATTTTATTTTTCCAAAGTCGCCAGAGGCCAGTCACCCATCTAAGACAGGACTAGCGTTGGGTTCAGGGTTGAATGGAATTGACTGTTGCGGTTCTCAGCTTAATAAAAAGCTGGGGGGTGGGACGAGGGGGAGGGTAAGTTAATCGTACACGGGAGTTGGGTTTGAATGCTTGAAATAAAGGTTGGTTTCATAAATGTAATAAGGGTAGTTTCTCAGTTAGACAGTGTTGGTAATATCTTAGATATAACAGCTGAATATGTTTCCCTACTTTTTATTTTACCAGGCGCTAGATTCAATTTTCCTAATTATCCACAACAAACAAAACAGACGACATTAATTAACCCACACATCAAAACAACCAATCCGAAGGTCATTATTTTTTATTTCTGTGGCCGCTAGTTTCTCTTTCTTTTCTTTCCTGTTATTTTGTCATTTTTTTCTTGTAATTTTTTTTTTTATTCGTGGCGAACAGAATTCTACTTTTAAGAATGTCCAGAATTGATTTCTTGAAATAAACAAGCATGAAATGAAAACCATGAAATGTGCGCCAAGAGTGGAAGGTTCGCTAAAAATACGTCATCGGGAATTTTTATGTGAGATGGCGGATAAAAGAAAGAGAGATAAAAAGATTGAGGAATGAGGAAATGTATAGATTTTTTTTTTAGAAATAGGGAAAATGATCTTATGATGAGGTAGGGGGAATAAACAAGATAGGATTGTCAGTTGGTGAGATGGGCAGTTGGTGAGATGGACTGTTGGTGAGATGGACAGTTGGTGAGATGGACAGTTGGTGAGATGGACAGTTGGTGAGATCGACAGTTGGTGAGATGGACAGTTGGTGAGATGGACAGTTGGTGAGATGGACAGTTGGTGAGATGGACATATTAGTGAGATGGACATTTGGTGAGATGGACTGTTTGGTGAGATGGACAGTTGGTGAGATGGACATATTAGTGAGATGGACATTTGGTGAGATGGACAGTTGGTGAGATGGACAGTTGGTGAGATGGACAGTTGGTGAGATGGACAGTTGGTGAGATGGACAGTTGGTGAGATGGACAGTTGGTGAGATGGACAGTTGGTGAGATGGACAGTTGGTGAGATGGACAGTTAATGAGATGGACAGTTGGTGAGATGAATAGTTGGTGAGATGGACTGTTGGTGAGATTAAGAAGATAGAATTCCGTTACACAGACAATAACCACGCAGGGAACCAATAACATTTTTGTACACCCACCCCTATGTCGATTTAAAAAAATTAATTTCTAAAAAAAAAACAACAAACAAGGATCTCAAATCCAACTTGACGTCATTGCTGACATTTGTAACCCGATCCAAAACAATTGAGTTAATAATTTAGATACCAAACTAGGTAAGGACGTCATGAAAACGTCACTAGAGCGTCATTAAGCCCTTACATTCAGATTCAAAATTTCAACACAGCATATCAGTTATATGACATTGTTTTTTTTTAAAGACGAATATAAACAGCTTATTTCTTAACTGCTTCTTCATCATATTTCTTGAAATTATTGCTCAATGTTATATTAGATTTAGTTCGTATATATATATATATATATATATATATATATATATATATATATATATATATATATACCCAAAAAATATAATATGTAGGTATTTATGTTTGAGCTATAAGGTATGTATTGCTTTATAATTTTGTCATACTCACATCTAAGAATAACATCGACATTTAACTATACAAGTTTCTAATCTATATCTCCATATCCGGTCTCTTCTTTAATACGTCAGACATAATATTGATTTTTACCTGTGCCCATTGGAATGCATGTATTACCTGACCCTTAGACGTGTCACACTCCCAATTAAGTCCAAACCAAATCTAATTACCCACCTACCCTTCTCCACATTACACTTTCCAATACCACGCACCTTACAGTAACTACATTGCCAGTCTAGTTCTTTCTCTACACCCAGAACCTGTTTGTTATCTTGCAAATCTCGCGAGTTACTGCGTGAATCCCGCACTACTTTCAAACAACACCCGGCTGTCCCAGAGCACTATGTCGGTCTTATTTTGGAGATTGTGTCAACAATGCTGTCTGCTGCCATTGGTATGGAAATCCAAACTTCATTTTGTCGCCGGATGGGGCAGAAATAGAAATAAGTGAATGCGACTTGTAATAGAAGAAATACGTTTCCTTATAAAAAAAATATCTAGTTTCTAAAGTCTTTCTACAAAATAAATATCTTTGGGGTTTCATTATCTAGGATAAGACTCAACGCAACCGGCCATAAAAGATATGAAATAAAATGGCACTATTAAATTTAAATTTTTTTTTTTTTTTTTTTTTTTTTTTATATTTGTCTGTTAAAAGCGTAAAATAGAAAAGCTGTTAAGGGGGCAGTATCACCCAGACAAAGGGAAAGGAACGAAAAATCACCACAAAAAAAAAAAAAAAAAAAACTATTACATATACAGATTTCGAATTTTACAAAAATAATATTTTCTTAGCTATAATACAGCATATAATTTGAGGAGTATATGTGTAAAACATTTCTTCTACAAATTAATTTGTAAATATTTTATATATGTTCTAAATTTAGTGTAAACCAATTACCAAAACCGTAAATAAAGTACTTACAATTCGGTATAAAGTTTTCTGTCGCTTTGAAGATTTGTTTAGTATTACGACTGTCTCGGCTAGCAAGAAAAACAATTTTAGAAAATTATGATATGTTTTTAGGTATATCCAAGAGGAAATGACCTAGGAAAAGTTAAAAATGTACAAAATTTGTAACAATGGAAATCATCTAGTTCCAACAGTAGGTTACTATGTTATCTCCTTGTGATTTTCAGCAGTAAGGGCCCAAATGTCCTAGATTTATTAAACAAATTTTGGTCAAATTATTTATAAAAAATGTTTGCATCATACATTGCTTTATAGCTCCCTGATTATAACTATTATTTAAAAAATTATGTGTGTATGTATAATAGTTTTTTTTTTTTGGCAAATTTTTTTCGTCAATTTTCCATTGTATGGGTGATAATGTCTACTTTTAAAAAAAAAAACGGAATTTAGTGGTTCTTAATCTTCTGTTATTACATTTAGTTTAATTTTAATTGTTTTAATGAAGCTAAATGTGGGTAATAAAGTATTAAGACTTATTTAGGGTGAAAAATTCAACAATCCCAGCTTTATTAAACTTTGCACGTGAATTTCTGTCACTAAAATAACAATAAGAACTAAATTGTATTTGGGCACATTTTGAATTTTTTTAAATTGTTATACAATTATGATGACATGATCGAATGGTCGAGCGAGCTATCGCTAATCCGGAGTGCCGGAGTTCGAGTCCTTTATGGGAATTCAGAGAAAGTAAAGGCGAGGTTCATTTTCGTTCAGTGGCCTTAAAGTAAAGTTTCCCTTTCAAACCTGACGGTCTATGGGGCAAGTGAAGTAGAAGAGATAGTGTGGTCAGCACTATGCCCAGCCGCCTTTACTTTCCATAACGTGAGTTGGGTACCCATCAGAGCTGGGTGGACTCAGGGACGGTCAACTGACTTGAACCCGGATTCGAACTCGAGACTTACGGGTTAGCAGTCCAGCTCTCTACCGCTAGACCACTCCGTCCCTTAGTGGCCTTACGTTAGATAAAATCTTCTCTACCCATGTAGACTGCGGCATCCGAAAAAGCCTTGTACGAATAATCTCCCCCCCCCCCCCCCAACCATCAGGTAGTTTTATACTGTTTGATTGCCGTCTGTTGTAGGATCCAGACCTGGTTTACAGTGACAGCAGCAGACGAAGAGGACAACGGCTGGAACCGGCAGACATGGAGTACAAGGGCAACCACAAGAACTGCTACGCTTCCCTCTCCAACCCCTCCCTGAAGGAGGCCATAGCTCTTCATAACTTCTCCATCCTCAAGCTTGCTGTGCTAGGTAAGTCTTCATCTACCCTCACAAGCTAGGTAACTCTTCATCTACCATCACAAGCTAGGTAAGTCTTCATCTACCATCACAAGCTAGGTAAGTCTTCATCTGTCCTCCCCTTCTGTGTTCTTTTCTGTCCTCTCCTGCTATGTAAATCATTGACAAGTCCTTCTCTGCCCTCTCCTTTTAGGTCCTCCTCTGCCCTCTCATGTTAGGTAACTCCAACATAAGTCATTTTCTGCCTTCTCCTGCTAGGTAAGTCCTTTCCTGCTCTCTACTGCTAGGTAAGTCCTTTCCTGCTCTCTACTGCTAGGTAAGTCTTTTCCTGCTCTCTACTGCTAGGTGTCCTTTCCTGCTCTCTACTGCTAGGTAAGTCTTTTCCTGCTCTCTACTGCTAGGTAAGTCCTTTCCTGCTCTATACTACTAGGTACGTCCTTTCCTGCTCTCTACTGCTAGGTAAGTCTTTTCCTGCTCTCTGCTGCTAGGTAAGTCCTTTCCTGCTCTATACTGCTAGGTAAGTCTTTTCCTGCTTTATACTACAGCTAGGTAAGTCCTTTCATGCTCTCTACTGCTAGGTAAGTCTTTTCTTGCTCTCTACTGCTAGGTAAGTCTTTTCCTGCTCTCTACTGCTAGGTGTCCTTTCCTGCTCTCTACTGCTAGGTAAGTCTTTTCCTGCTCTCTACTGCTAGGTAAGTCCTTTCCTGCCCTCTACTGCTAGGTAAGTCCTTTCCTGCTCTCTACTGCTAGGTAAGTCCTTTCCTGTTCTCTACTGCTAGGTAAGTCTTTTCCTGCTCTCTACTGCTAGGTAAGTCTTTTCCTGCTCTCTACTGCTAGGTAAGTCTTTTCCTGCTCTCTACTGCTAGGTAAGTCCTTTCCTGCTCTCTACTGCTAGGTAAGTCCTTTCCTGCTCTCTACTGCTAGGTAAGTCCTTTCCTGTTCTCTACTGCTAGGTAAGTCTTTTCCTGCTCTCTACTGCTAGGTAAGTCTTTTCCTGCTTTATACTACAGCTAGGTAAGTCCTTTGCTGCTCTCTACTGCTAGGTAAGTCTTTTCCTGCTCTCTACTGCTAGGTAAGTCCTTTCCTGCTCTCTACTGCTAGGTAAGTCTTTTCCTGCTTTATACTACAGCTAGGTAAGTCCTTTGCTGCTCTCTACTGCTAGGTAAGTCTTTTCCTGCTCTCTACTGCTAGGTAAGTCCTTTCCTGCTCTCTACTGCTAGGTAAGTCTTTTCCTGCTCTCTACTGCTAGGTAAGTCCTTTCCTGCCCTCTACTGCTAGGTAAGTCCTTTCCTGTTCTCTACTGCTAGGTAAGTCCCTTCCTGCTCTCTACTGCTAGGTAAGTCTTTTCCTGCTCTCTACTGCTAGGTAAGTCCTTTCCTGCTCTCTACTGCTAGGTAAGTCCTTTCCTGTTCTCTACTGCTAGGTAAGTCTTTTCCTGCTCTCTACTGCTAGGTAAGTCCTTTCCTGCTCTCTACTGCTAGGTAAGTCATTTCCTGCTCTCTACTGCTAGATATCATGTTCTTCCTCCTCCCAATAGGTAAGTCCTTTTCTGCCCTCTCCCGCAAGGTACGTCCTTATTCAATCCTCTCCAAATCTTCCCATACAGAGTTTCTTCCAGGCATCTCTTCGGGGGGGCGAAGCCCCCCCGAAAATTTTTTACCGCCCCCCCGAACGAAATGAAATTTATATAATTTATATAGAAAATATATACTTTTAACAGTGTCCGCCCCCCCGAAGAAAGTTTACCGCCCCCCCGAAGATTTCAAGTGCCCCTCCGGAGAAAAAAGTCTGGAAGAAACACTGTTCCCATAGCACTAAAAATATTCTGCATCCACGTGCTTTCGGTGCTAGATCAGTGATACCACGATTTCATTTTCTCTACCCACTCTGGGGCTGTATTCACTTTCCCACCCCTACAAGCTCAGCACCTATTCAAAGAGTGTGTTCATGAATCTTTCTACCTGACCAAAGAGTGTGTTCATGAATCTTTCTACCTGACCAAAGAGTGTGTTCATGAATCTTTCTACCTGACCAAAGAGTGTGTTCATGAATCTTTCTACCTGACCAACATGAATCTTTCTACCTGACCAAAGAGTGTGTTCATGAATCTTTCTACCTGACCAAAGAGTGTGTTCATGAATCTTTCTACCTGACCAAAGAGTGTGTTCATGAATCTTTCTACCTGACCAAAGAGTGTGTTCATGAATCTTTCTACCTGACCAAAGAGTGTGTTCATGAATCTTTCTACCTGACCAAAGAGTGTGTTCATGAATCTTTCTACCTGACCAAAGAGTGTGTTCATGAATCTTTCTACCTGACCAAAGAGTGTGTTCATGAATCTTTCTATCTGACCAAAGAGTGTGTTCATGAATCTTTCTACCTGACCAAAGAGTGTGTTCATGAATCTTTCTACACGACCGTAATACGCTCTATTCAAATAGTGTGTTCATGAATCTTTCTATCTGACCAAAGAGTGTGTTCATGAATCTTTCTACCTGACCAAACAGTGTGTTCATGAAGTTTTCCGCCTCCCCCTATAGTTGTAGTTCTCGCTGATAGTTTCAGAGTTCGCCCAGCAACTGGCCGCCGCCTACGAGCTGTTCTCTAAAGAGGTTCAGGCCATCATCACAACGTTCAGGAGACGGAACACGGAGCTCAAGAAACAAAGGTAAGGCCGTCTGTGTAGATGCTGGTAGGGTTTGGCTCTTATGTGCTTATTTCATTACCATCATAGATGTATCGGCTCTCGTCTTGAGTGCTGGATTATGATTATCTCTGGGGCCATTTTCCACATTTCCACAGATCGTTTGATATGTGCCATATCTCAGTGTTCTCTCTCTCTCTCTCTCTCTCTCTATCTCTCTCTCTCTCTCTCTCTCTCTCTCTCTCTATATATATATATATATATATATATATATATATATATATATATATACATATATCTTTTTTCTTTACTGCATTGTCTTTGTCATTGCAAATTATCTAATATTAGACAAACAAATTGTGTTCGTGATCATTTCTCATTTCTTGTTCTTGAAAAAGGTTTTTTTCAAATGTATTTTAATTTTATAGTCCTTACTGATTAAACTAGCCAATCATAAAAGCTAGTTATAAATAGTATAATAACACAACAGCCAACTTACACATAATAACACCGATCTAATGTCTTTATAAAACATAAAATCACTCAAATAAAATAAAAATTCTGCTTTTCGCTGCTTCATCTCGTATCTTGAATTCGTGTTAAGCGTGACTTGACCTATTCTACATTATACTTTCGACTACACCAATTGCGCTGCTGTAATACACACACCAAACAGACACGAAACATCGATGGTGCTTAGCGCTGTTTAAATTTGAAGTACAAATTATAGAGGGCAGTTTTAAGTGTCTGATAATAACGCTTGCACATTTTCTCATTGCTTCGTTCCTGCATCGTTCAGCATACAAGATTGGAACATCGATTTTCTTTGTTTCAGCCCCTTATTAGTAACCGTTTTATTGAAACAAACTGCGTTGGTTAGATTGTAAAATTGAATATTATTTCGTGAAATGAAGCTAATTTTAAATTTAATCTAGTATTTGCTTGGTTTTTCTTTTACCTTGTATGAATTAATTTGTAGTCGTTCGTCTTTCGTCTTCAATATATCAATTTTGTAATTACTATCGGTATATTTGTTATGTTTTTGTTACATTGTATAACGTAGATAATAATCACTGCGTTGTATTTCGGACATTAGTGATGCTAATATCGGTCCACTCTGTTGTTACATTATATATCTACACCCTAAACTTTTTACACAATACTAAAGCTATTGTTGATCCTCTGTATATGATAGGTTACCTGCATAATGACCATTACGTTGTATTTCGGACATTAGTGATGCTAATGTCGGTCCACTCTGTTGTTACATTGTATATCTACACTCTAAACTTTGTTTTTAACACACTACTATTGTTGATCCTCTGTGTATGTTAGGGACTTAGGTTGATCAGTAGATCTAAAGATCAATCTTTACTTTTTTTTTTTACCGACACTTTAAACACTTCGTCGTGTTAGTCGCAGTGGCGTAGGCAAGGGGGTTAGGGGGGAGGGGTCATAACCCCCTATAGACCCCTCGGTATATATATATATATATATAAAGTATGAGGGGGTGCAAATCGAAAGTTTGAAAGGGGGGGGGGGTGCAAATCAAAAGTTTGGGGGGGGGGGGAGGGGTGCAAATCGAAAGTTTGGGAGGGGGGTGCAAATCGAAAGATCGTCCCCGGGTAAAAATTGGACTCCCCCCCCTTCAGACAATCCTGGCCACGCCACTGGTTAGTCGCATGACATTACGCTACTGCTGGTAACAACTGATTCATGTTCAAGTCAACATTTTTTTGTTGTTGTCTTCCCCCCCCCCCCACAGGCCCGTGGATACATCCAATAGCATCTTCAATGCCTGGGAGTCGCTTTTGTTGGAATCAGAGTTGGATGCACAGGTAATCATGGTGGGGGGGGGGGGGGGGGTTAAAAATTAAATTATTGTTTAAAGATTAATTCAAACAACTAGGGATTAAATTTATACTTTGAATTTGTTTTTATGGTATGAATGTCAATGTTGTAGAAGGATAACATTTAAGGATCGTGGACGTCCTCTGCTCTGTAAGACGTACCTCTGTCTATAGGACGTCTCTCATTCTATCATGTCTGTATACAGGACGACCACCTGTAGGACGTCTGTTATTCTGTTGGGCGTCCGTTAGTCTGTAGGACATTTCAATACTGTAGGACATCACTCGATCTGTAGGACGTCTTTTATTCGGTAGTACGTCACTCCCGATCATATCTCACTATACAGGACGACCATCTGTTTGACGTTTCTCCAACTGTTGGACGTCAATGAGTATGTATGACCTTCAGTCCACTGACCTACACGCTGTGGACGTAAAAAAAAATTAATTAAAACAACAACAAAAAAACACGCCGAATTTGAAAGACATACCTTGTGTAGTAGCACGACCTAAATCTGTAAATCGTCCTTGACTCAAAACATGTTTACCTCAACCATCTCATTAACTCCGTACTTCTGGCATTTTTATTTTGTCCTTGTTTATTTTTTCGGGTGGGAGGTAACAGTAGTGCTGCCTGTTCAAACATCGGACCGGAAATGGGAAACTAACTCATCGGAAAAATCCAATAACTTGGTGTAGTAGGGTCCATCTGCTAGGGTAGCCTCGAACTGGATAGTTTGGTTGATACCAGCTGACGCCATCATTAATTCTGGGTAGACCGGAAGTGAAAGTGTATTGTATCGATTGCAGAGTCTTCTAAAAATAGCCACACAAAAAACCGACCGACAGTATGAATATAAAATATAGTTTTGATTTTTGCAATGTTTTACGTTCCAATGTGGTCTTTGCCCACACCAAATCGGGAAATATTTATAAAAGCCTTTTAGCATTTCTTTTCAAAATTTTAATTTGATTCCTGATAACCAACGACGACATTCTAAAAATGATTTTTTTTGTTGTGTTACTGTAATCTTAAAAGAAAATTCTGAGTTCAGTTATTTATGTTGGATCATGTCTAATCAAACAATTCGAACATCAATCAAATAATCTAAAGTAGTCATTTTAAATGACTCATTATAAAGTTTTAAATGATTCTATAAACGAGAAACGAGAGTAATCTAAAATTCACCCCCCTCCAACCACCAAACATGATTTCTATTTATCAACGAAGTAGCACCCATAAATTTAATATGAGCTAGACTTTCGTTAAGCTTAAAACAGCAGTGCCATATAACATTCAGAGCGCTAATTCCCTTGTATAGATTTCACCAGGCACTATGTCGTGCGGATGTCGTATTGGGGTGAGAAAGTCGTCTGCTAATCCTTAATTGTTTCCTGGATTAAAATATAAAAAAAAAATAACTGTCTTAGGTTAATAACAATTTTTTTTCCCCACCTCTAGGCCCACCTGGATGCCGCTGGTCTGCTGATGAAAAATGTCTTCCGGCCCTTACAGGAAGTTGCGTCACACAAGAACAGACAAGCTGACGTGCTGTCGTCATACAGAGATAACTTTGAATCTGTTCTCAGCGAGGCCGTAAGGGAGGCCACTCAGGTAAGGGGGGGGGGGCACTGGTAGTAGAGGCTACTCGGCTAAGGAAGGCCACTCGAGTAAGGGAGGTTACTTTGGTAAAAGTAGCTACTCGGGTAAGGGAGGCCACTCGAGTAAGGGAGGTTATTTTGGTAAGCGAAGCTACTCTAATAAGAGATGCCACTCAGGTAAGGCAGGCTACTGGTAGGAAAGGCTGCACGGCTAAGGCAGTTTTATTTGGTTAGGAAAGCTTTCCAGTAAGGGATGCCACTCGGGTAAGGGAGGTTACTTTGATAAGGGAAGCTACTCTAGTAAGGGAGATCACTCGGATGAGGAGTCCACTGTTGTAAATATGGCTCGAACTTATTAAATAACAATATAATAACAATTATACGGCAAGTACGATTATTTATTTGTGATACTTCTGCTCTTTGAAAAGCTTCTATTTGACGTATTCGAGTCTAGTACTCTGGTATCGCTCTCATAATATTGAATCTACCTGTTTCATAGCACCGACATTACATTATCAACCCTGACGCTTACAATACATTCACACACAAGAATACCTTGATTGGATACTATAGGGCTGCATGAGCCACATAACTGGTTGTTGACCTACTTACCAGCCCTATTGTCCATCCAAAATTTTCATTAGAACCAATATTTAAAACACGAAGTAAGTGGTGAGGCTTATTTAGTGGTGTTTTTTTTTTATATTGATGCTCATATGTTTCTCGTTAGCTTGTTCTAAAACCTGGTGTTTACGTCCTATTATTTTGTTATACTTATCTTACAGTCTTGCCACATTGGCATTTTAAAGCCAATTACTATTTCAACCACTGAAAACTGAAATTTAATCACAAGTTCATGTCAAGTCTAATGACCTTATTAATTCATATAACAATCTCGGAAAACCATAAAATACAAAAATAAAAAGGACATTATATAATACATATTATTATGCCCTACCCGCCAGTCACATGCTTGAATCAGCCAATCAGATTTGATGTAGCTCGCACCATTAACCCAAGACGACAGAGTAATGTCAAGGTTGATTAAAATACAGGATTATAACGTGCCATCAAGGGCAATAATCAATACTTCACTTCAGCGTCTTAGAACAATTTTTGAAGATTTAAAAAAATAAAATAAAACACGTGATAATTGGATCTAGTTATGCCTAATCACACAAGAACTATATGTAAAAAGGCAATTTGTAGCTATATGTAGTTTAATACCTGCTGCTTTAAAACGAATAGGTTTTTATTCTGAGTAAAGAAGCCTTTGCTTGTCTGTTGGTTCATGTACCAAATCTTACTTATTTAGAAACAAGATGAAAAAAACTTCACTTTATCTTTAAATCAAACAAAAAGCATCGTCCACATTTTGTTTGCTCTCATCTAACTTTTACCCCAACCGTAACCCTAAACATAATAACTCCAAACGTTAAACAAAAAATTCAACTAAATTTAAATCTAAAGCTACCAGACTTCCGTCGCCAACGCATCCATTCCGCCTAAGCTGATACAAATGCTAACCATGAACACAAACACTTACCGTGACCAAAACCATTACTCTAACGCCACACAAACCCAAACGCAGCTATTGGGATATACGACGATACATATCTAAACTTACCATATCCTAATACAAGCACGATAGATAAAGGTCACCCCTTGTGAAGTTCAAAGGTCAAGCTTTATTCACAATCCGCGAGGGCTTAACAGATTTCGTGACGAGTTTAAAAAAAAAAAATCCCAAACGATCGCCGTGCAAATAACGAATTCTGCTTTACCACCGCCGCGAGCACTTAAAATATTTACCCTCGTGTTAAATGGGCGGGGAAAAAATGCCTGTCTGATGTTTGTCTGTCTCTCTCCTAACCAGATAAAGCTTGCGATAACCTATATATTATTGCGAGGTATCGACTTTACCGGAAGTGTTTGTTCAGTGAAGTGGTCTACACTTTTTTCGCGATTACTTCCCCTGCAAATAGTTTTTTTTTTTTGTTTTTTTTTTGTTTTTGTTTTTTAAGTATACGTATCAATTTTTTTATAAAGGTGCTTTTGTATTTATTTTGTTTTGAACTAGTTTCACATTACGTCGTCATACAGAATCTTTTTTTTTTCATAAATTAATTAAATTATAAAATGACAACGCGAAATAAAGTAACAAAGAACTCGGCTATTAACGATTCGACCTAAAGTCGTTATCAAAATAAATAAATTTTAAAAATGTTTAAAAGTTTAAAAATATATAATCTGATTTCTTAGCTGTCGAGATCAGTAGTTATCAAACGTTTTAATCCTACTGCCTCCTTTTCAAGATTTTTTTTTCACTCTGGGGGGTGAAATCGCCCAATTAGGGGCACACTGATCTAGATCTTATGAAGTTCTTCATTTTAAACTGGAGATAATATAAAAACATTGAGGGTATGGTAGCAAACTCTTAACAGGTTGAAACGTTACACTTAATTTTATTGAAGGAAATCCCATCCTACGCTATAATTAAAAATGACAAAGAAGAAATTCGAAGTATCAAACATATGACCAGATGCTCAAAATACCAAATAGCATCACAACTAGAAAGCTAAATGGCTTTCGACCGAAGGAACGAATGATCATTTGGACAAGGGACATATGCACACAAGATTCGACCATACAGCGAAACAAAAACTGCAAGATCAAACTACAATTCGACCACACTTCAACACAAACAATCAAATCTCAAGACCAAACGACCATTCATCTACACGACCTTTCGACCAAAAGTCACGCAAATGCCACGCTGGTGTTGAGCGAGTTAATTAGACTAATTAGTTGTGTTAATCACAGTATAACATGGGTAGAGTGAAATGGCTGTCACAAAAGAAAAACTCACTACAACATAATTATACAACACAGACGCGACCAAAACATTTGATTATACTGTAGTTATACATTGCCACGACAATTACACACAAAATAATAATTATTTTTGTAATTAAATTAAAGATCAACAAATATAAAAATATTTGATTAAAGGTCAGAAACCTAATTTCGTTTTTTTTTCCTTTGTTATTTTAATAGAGGAATCGTATATGAAGGATTTGACTTAGATTCTACCTGTCATAGTGTAATTACATTACTGTTTATTAATACTAATAGTTTCGCTGTCTGTCTATGTATCTGTCTAAGTATCTGACAAGAACGCTGTAGAGAAAACACAAGCAAAATAAAAACATGCATAGTAATACGGAAACGAAATATGACGTCATATTGAGCATGTAGTAGAAAATAATGTCAAGCCGGAGAGTGCACACAGTAATATGACGTCATTGATTCTCGAGTAAACATCCAATTAAAAAGCCAATGTTGTCTAATCTTAAAAGTGGTTTGCGTGAAGAGTTTCTTTCATACAATTCTTCGGGTAGGGGCGCAGCCCATCCCCCGCGTAAGAACGTCTAAGCCGACCCCCCCCCCCCCCCAACTCAAAAGAAATGTCGTCATCGATACTCTATAATAAAATTACAGCCTAATTCATGTGTCTAATCTAAAAAGTAATTTGCGTGCAGTTTCTTTCATGCAATTCTTCAGGTAATGGCTAAGCGCGACACCAGTGTTTCTTTCAGACTATTTCCTCCCCGGAGGGAGGAACGTTTTCTAATCTAAAAAGTGTTTAGTGTACACAGTTTTTTCATGCGTCTCTTCCGGTAGGGGCGAAGCCACGCACAGGTTCTTCCTTTAGTTTGTATGATCTATAAATGCGACCAGTGTTTCTTTCAGACTTTCTCCTCCACGGAGAGGGGTGGGGTATTTGAAATTTTCGGGGGCGGGAGTAGAATTTTCTGGGAGGGGGCGGACACTGGAAAAAGTATATAATTATATTTCGTTGAATGGGACGGTAGATATGTTTTGGGGTGTGTGCGGGGGGGGGGGGGGGTTAGTTTATAAAAAATAGACAGCACTATCAACCTAGCGCCCGTTGTATTCTTCCTCAACGGGCTATTTTTCTCGTTGTTAATATTGAAGAAGACATTTCGGAGAAATATGTTTTATTTTAGATTTAGGTGCATTTTGCTTAGGCTTCAGTCTAAAAATAAAACACGTTGTTTGTTAGTTTGTCTTTCAAAACTAGCTTATCATTTGCTAAGCGTTGAGGAAGCTTATTTTTTCTTTTTAAAATATTTATAAAAAAAAGTCCGTATATGATGAAGTACTGAGAAGTAAAACTGAAAAATGTCAAAATTTCTTGTGATTTTTGTGCACGATTACAATACTTCCTCTATGCTTTACATACGAGAAAGTAAAAACAATATTAAATCATTTAATGCGGCTTCTATTACTGTCTACTGGTAGTTGGTTTACACTATGAAGACCTCCCCAATCGGATGTTGATGTGTAGGAAACAGACATTCACTGATGTTATTTGCTCGTTCTTACTGTAAAACTCAATCAAATCTGACACAGCGACGGGGAGGGGGAAGGGTGGTAAAAAAAAGAGGAAATGTTTGAATACCTGAGCTGAATAGTGGCTTGTTAATTACTTGATTTGTGAACGGCTCCATCGGAGTTTCCATGGCAACGGTTTTGAAATAAATAGGTATGGCTGTTGCGTAACGATGCCGGGTGTGACAATACGCATGGAATAGGTCCCTGGGGTGTGGGGGGTGGAGGGGGTCGGGGTGGGGATCTGGCGTGGTGAAAAGAGGGAGATTTTGATTGAAAGCGATCAATATTTGTATTGGTTGGCTGGGTGATATAGCGTTTTATTAGTTTTTATTTTTTTATCTCATTCAGAGAGGTTTAGTGGTTGGAGGTTGTTTTTTCGTTTTTTTGTTGATGGTCGTTGGCTTCTGGTTGGTGCTATGCTTGAGAGGCTCTTTTTTGTGGATGGATGGTAGATATGGTTAGTGCTGTGTTTGCGTGGATGGATGTTTTTGGTGAATGTTTGATAGCTTATTGGTTAGTACTAGGTTTATTATTTGTAGATTGTTGGTAGGTTATATTTAGTGCAGGGTATGGTGGAAGGTATTGAAGTTTAATGTACGGTTGTATATGGTTGATGGTGATAGTTGGTTACATTTATTGTTATGGTTGATTGATGGTAGTTTGAGGAACCTGGACAAAACAACAGCAAGTCCACGACACTCCAAGCCCACAACATCATCATGGCCACAACAACAACATGGTCACTACACCAACATGGTCACTACACCAACATGGTCACTACACCAACATAGTCATCACAAAGGAACAACATCCTAAAATCTATCGTTGTGTCCTTCCCATTTCTATAAACGTTGGTCATCATTAAAGCCTAGACCAGACACAACAACAACAAGTATCAAAATCTACAACCTTACACCTCTATCTAGCTACATCCAATAACATAGCTTTAAATACTGAAGCGACATAATACAAATAGCCAACATCTTTCGTAAAAGAGTTTATTAATCGCGTCTAGTCCAATTTATTTTACCTCCCCTTTCCCACTTCCTTATTTCGCCGAGCCGTTCTGTTACTACAGTCGTTTAAAATTAGTTGTTTCGTTATGTGTTCCCAGTTTAAATTTTGTTTGCAATTTGTGTTCTATTTTTGTCTCGCAGGCGGAAGCAAAATATCACAGCTCTTTCCAAGAGTTCGCTTGCCTGCCTGACAGTTCAAGCGAGCAGGGCGAGCAGGTGAGAGGTCAACTCCACAACTCACACAATGAATACATCCTCAAGATCCGGGCCTCGAACAGGACGGTGGACGAGTTCAACTCGCTGCTGCCTCAGTTGTTGGAGGTACTCGTGACATGGTGTTCTTTCTATGCGTGCTCTGATGTTTGTGTATGCCCTGTTTGATGTGGGTTCGTGTCCTGTATATGTGTGTTCTTGTCCTGTATATGTGTGTTCTTGTCCTGTATATGTGTGTTCTTGTCCTGTATATGTGGGTTCATGTCCTGTCTATGTGGGTTCATGTCCTGTCTATGTGGGTTCATGTCCTGTCTATGTGGGTTCATGTTCTGTCTATGTGGGTTCATGTCCTGTCTATGTGGGTTCATGTCCTGTCTATGTGGGTTCATGTCCTGTCTATGTGGGTTCATGTTCTGTCTATGTGGGTTCATGTCCTGTATATGTGGGTTCATGTCCTGTCTATGTGGGTTCATGTCCTGTCTATGTGGGTTCATGTCCTGTCTATGTGGGTTCATGTCCTGTCTATGTGGGTTCATGTCCTGTCTATGTGGGTTCATGTCCTGTCTATGTGGGTTCATGTCCTGTCTATGTGGGTTCATGTCCTGTCTATGTGGGTTCATGTCCTGTATATGTGGGTTCTTGTCCTGTCTATGTGGGTTCATGTCCTGTCTATGTGGGTTCATGTCCTGTCTATGTGGGTTCATGTCCTGTCTATGTGGGTTCATGTCCTGTCTATGTGGGTTCATGTCCTGTCTATGTGGGTTCATGTCCTGTATATGTGGGTTCTTGTCCTGTCTATGTGGGTTCATGTACTGTCTATGTGGGTTCATGCCCTGTCTATGTGGGTTCATGTCCTGTATATATGGGTTCATGTCCTGTATTTGTGGGTTAATGTCATGTCTATGTGGGTTCATGTGTCGTCGATGTGGGTTCATGTATTTTATATGGTTGTTCATGTCTTGTTTGATGCTGGTTCGTGTCCTGTAATGAAGTTAAATAACTACCACGCACCCTTTATAAAATTTCTTTAATAAATCCAGAACATCCCATACGAACAGTAAACTAAAATGTTTATTTTCAAATACTTCTATTAAACAACTGCTTACACCATACTGTTCACACCATACTTAAATAAACAGTCATAAACTCTATTCCCGTGTGCCGTCTAAAAATGAAACATTAAACTGGAAACGAAAAAGGGAGAAATTTGGTGTGGGGGGGGGGGGGGAATAGAATTAATACAAACAAATATATAACACGGCTTATGACCATCATCATCAGACCCCGTATAACACTAACAAATGATAAACCATAACCAACCCTGTATAACACTAACAAATGATAAACCATAACCGACCCTGTATAACACTAACAAATGATAAACCATAACCGACCCTGTATAACACTAACAAATGATAAACCATAACCGACCCTGTATAACACTAACAAATGATAAACCATAACCGACCCTGTATAACACTAACAAATGATAAACCATAACCGACCCTGTATAACACTAACAAATGATAAACCATAACCGACCCTGTATAACACTAACAAATGATAAACCATAACCGACCGTGTATAACACTAACAAATGATAAACCATAACCTACCCTGTATAACACTAACAAATGATAAACCATAACCGACCCTGTATAACACTAACAAATGATAAACCATAACCGACCCTGTATAACACTAACAAATGATAAACCATAACCGACCCACTATATAACTAACAAATGATAAAACAAACCCGACCCTGTATAACACTAACAAATGATAAACCATAACCGACCCTGTATAACACCAACAAAATGACAAACCAGCACCCATCGTCTTGTATCGTATAACAGCCGCACACTCCCTACCAAGATGAATGGCTCTGAGCCTAGCCCTACATCACCACTGTTTGAAGCTTCATCACGTGATTCCCGTTATTTGACGCCGGTTGTTCGTATGATTCACGAGCAATTTATTTTTATATATGCGAATTTCCGGATCCTTATTTTTCATCTTGTGACATTACATCAGCTATTTTGGTTATTTATGTGTTTTAACTTAAGTAGCCTTCACATAGAATACACAAGTGTGGTTTGTTTAATGAGAGGATAACTAGGCGTATGGGATTTGGGATAGAACTTCTTGAAGAGTTGGCATTTTCTTTTAACAAGTAAAGATTTTTGTCTCTTTAAACAAAATGACATTAAAAATGTGGCTTGATTCTGACGAATGGTTTTGAAGAGAATTAATTCCTAAAATGGTATTCGTAAATTTGCGGGTAGATTTTTTTTTTTTGGAATTTAAAAAAATAATTTAAAAAACAAGCTCTGTTCATAAGTGGATTGAATTAGTAGAATGCCATGATTTAAATATAATCAATTTAAATGAATACATTTCAACGTTGTTTTCTTTTTGGTTTACTTAATAATCATATTTAATTTTTTTAAAATATTTTTTGTTTACTTAATTTTGTAAAGTGTAATTGTACTTTTTGAAAATTCTTCTGTTTGATTTAGGAGTTGGAAGAGATTTACATCGATACAGGAAACACAATAAATGTCGCTTTTGAGAGCCAGGCACTACTTCTTCTTACAAAGGTATGCATAGTTACTACAGGTACTTTATACAAAGGTGTGCAGTTCCTGCAGGTACTTTATACAAAGGTGTGCAGTTACTGCAGGTACTTTATACAAATTAGTGCTCAGTTCGTACTCGCATGTGCTACGAAATTGTTTATAATTAGGGGAGGGGGAAGGCACTTGAAATTTTCGGGAGGGTGGAGTCAATTTTCCGGGGGATCAGACACTGGTAAAAGAATATATTTTCATATATATATATATATATATATATATATATATATATATATATATATATATATATATATATATATATATATATATATATATATATATATATAAATTCCATTTAGTTTTGGGGGTGGGGGTTGTAAACGATGTTCGATGCCTGAAAGAAACTCTGTATAGGTATTTTATACAATGGTCTACATAACAAATAATAATTACAGGTATTTCCTACAGGCAACAATTTTGTTACAAGTCTTCTTGCAAACCAAACCCGGCCCTTGATTACCATCTAAATAAACAAATCTAACCAAAACAAAATCCCAAAGTCAAAGCCTTTAACTTTAACTTTAGCCTAAGCCCTAACCTCTTTGCCTCTTACAGGCAGACGAGCAGCACCGAAGGTACGAGAACCAGATGAAGATCTGCAAGATGGTCAGCCCGCACCAGGACGTCAGCTTCTTCGTGCGGGCCAGCCAAGGCGAGGGCCCGGCCTTAACCTACACGCTCTCACACTACGTCTTTAAGCCCGCCATAGCCATCACCGCGGAGGCTCAGGTGAGATATTGAGACGGGGGTCATGGGTTCAGGTGAGATATTGAGACGGAGGTCATAGGTCTAGGTGAGATTTTGAGACGGGGGTCATAGGTCCATGTGAGATATAAAAATGGAAGTCATAGGTCCAGGTGAGTTAATGAGACGGGGGTCATGGGTCCAGGTGAGATATTGAGACGGGGGTCATAGATTCAGGTGAGTTAATGAGACGGGGGTCATGGGTCCAGGTGAGATATTGAGACGGGGGTCATAGGTCCATGTGAGATATAAAAATGGAAGTCATAGGTCCAGGTGAGTTAATGAGACGGGGGTCATGGGTCCAGGTGAGATATTGAGACGGGGGTCATAGATTCAGGTGAGTTAATGAGACGGGGGTCATGGGTTCAGGTGAGATATTGAGACGGAGGTCATAGGTCTAGGTGAGATTTTGAGACGGGGGTCATAGGTCCATGTGAGATATAAAAATGGGTCATAGGTCCAGGTGAGTTAATGAGACGGGGGTCATGGGTCCAGGTGAGATATTGAGACGGGGGTCATAGATTCAGGTGAGTTAATGAGACGGGGGTCATGGGTCCAGGTGAGATATTGAGACGGGGGTCATAGATTCAGGTGAGTTAATGAGACGGGGGTCATAGATTCAGGTGAGATATTGAGACCGGGATCATGGGTCCTGGTGAGATATTGAGACGGGGGTCATGGGTCCAGGTGAGATATTGAGATGGAGGTCATAGTAATCAAAATTTGATGTTCTCGTAGTGAAGAACTTAAAAATTTCTTATTTAAATAAATAACATAATTTTTAAAAATTAATGGTTTAGGATAAAAAAGAGAGTCGCTTATTTATTCGAAAGTGTAAAAATTAAAATTATTAGAGGTAATTTATTTATATTATATATATGTATAAATTAAACTATATTGTTATATTTTTTTTATTATTGTTATGAAACTTCTTTTTTTTTTACACTTTTGTCTATATAGTTTCAAGTTGTCTCCCGTGGTCTGTTTCAATATGCATATAGGAAATAACATACACACATTAGTGTTGAATATTTGATTATGAATAATTGTACTGTGTCTTAACAAATCGGACCATTATGTAATAGTTAGTATATTAATAATTTTAAAAACATATTTCCATGGTGACAAAATTGACGTGATTTTTAAAAAGGGAAAGCACTGTGCAAAAACGAATCACTTTTTAAAAAACCCAGTTACATCCCTTAGACTAAAATTAACTTTTTTTTAATATAGAAAACCTTGTCAAACCAAATTATCTACGACCGACTAACGGAGTCAAACGTGATCGATAAAAGGACTGCTCTCCAGACACAGGGCATGGGTCTGGCCGTCAACCTGAAGCAGAGCCAGGACATTATCGCCACCCTCAGTAACATCTGCCAGAGGTAAGTCTGATATCTGATTGCTCAGTTATCAGCTTGGTGACTTATCTGTTAGGTCAGTTACCTGATAAGTTAGTAATCTGTTATAATAAGTTGTTTTTTGGGTAAGTTTTTTAATAGGTCACTTTTTGGTAGGTCATTTATCTGATTAATCAGTTATTTCTGTTAGACCATGAAAGTATTATCCGTCTGGGATAGGTCCTTTATTTCGGTCGGGTTCAACATTTAATTGTGTCACTCAAGTAGACACCATTTACGTCTTTGATCATTACTACTCCCACGTTCATACATTTATTTTCTACTAACAGTTCATCAGTGTGTCTATCGTGATAGGCCCTTTTCATTACTTTAAGAAGTGTGGTTTATTTTTAACATCGTGTAATGAATTAACAATAAAAGAACTTTGGCGAATAGTATAAATTATATATAAGAGGTTCAGGGTTTCTTTCAGACATTTAACATAGTTTCCATTGGGAGCTGACACTGGTTAAAATACTGCGGGATCAGCATGGCCTAGCGATAGAGCGCTATCCCGATAGTCTTGAGTTCGCATCCGGGTTCAACTGAGTCCACCCAGCTCTGGTGGGTACCTAACTCACGTTAGGGAAAGCAAAAGTGGCTGGGCATATGGCGAGCACACTATCGCTACAGAAACAGGTGAACTCTACTTCAGTAGCCACATGGACCATCAGGTTCGAAAAGGGAACTTTACTTGATATAGTGTATATTTTTTCCCTTTTCGTCCAGGGTACTTGGGTGGGGGGGGGGGGGGGTGGCAGCCATCCCCTTCCTCCCCGAAAAGATACCTGAAAGAAAACTCCTAAGGGATTTTGTCATGAATTCATATTATTCAGACAACTACAACTACTACTTTAGCCCTCGAACATAACTCGAGACACTCGGGTTTTGTAGCCCTAACACTCGACCACGCCTTCGCCAGGTTAACTCACTATTCTGTGTTGGAAGTTGAACAGGTAAAGAAAACTGCGAGCTTTGTGTTGTACATAACAACTGCTCACACTGAGTTGTACGTATATTTTAAACTACCCCGCACTGATTTCCGGCTAGATGTCAATAATTTCTATGCTGGAAATTCGGAAACCTAATGAGGAGAGGGTTTGGGGAGAGGGAGGCTTTTAAAAAGAAAAAAAGTAAACAATTAAGGGATATCAATTTGAAGGCTTGCTTCATCCTTTTAAAAATACCGCACTGAAACAACAAAATATAAAACTTGTTAATGAAATATTTGTTGTATGTTTGTTTTGACACTCGGCTGCTTTTTTTTTTAAATTCTCAGGTGTAAATAAGGGTAGAGTTGTTTTAATTAAAAGTAGGCAGTCATTAAATAAACTTTCCGCCGTGAGCACTCATCGGGCTGTTTTCACCTGACGTCTCTAACGTGCATTAACCCAGTGTGTGCCGCAGCTGGTGTTAACCCTTTCGTTGGCGTTTTTTCAGAACCCTGCTCAGATCATCTTTCGGTTTGTCAGCCGAGATGGTTAACCTTGACCTAGTGACTTGTCTGCGTCATCAGTTGGCGCATGCGTCAAAGGGTTGTCAATGTGAAATTTTGGAGCGGGTGAAAGTGTGGATAGGTTTAGGGGTGAGATGTTGAAGGTGTGAGGGCATGGGTTTAGGGGTGAGATGTTGAAGGTGTGAGGGCATGGGTTTAGGGGTGAGATGTTGAAGGTGTGAGGGCATGGGTTTAGAGGTGAGATGTTGAAGGTGTGAGGGCATGGGTTTAGGGGTGAGATGTTGAAGGAGTGAGGGCGTGGGTTTAGGGGTGAGATGTTGAAGGTGTGAGGGTATAGGTTTAGGGGTGAGATGTTGAAGGTGTGAGGGCATGGGTTTAGGGGTGAGATGTTGAAGGTGTGAGGGCATGGGTTTAGGGGTGAGATGTTGAAGGTGTGAGGGCATGGGTTTAGGGGTGAGATGTTGAAGGTGTGAGGGCATGGGTTTAGGGGTGAGATGTTGAAGGTGTGAGGGTATAGGTTTAGGGGTGAGATGTTGAAGGTGTGAGGGCATGGGTTTAGGGGTGAGATGTTGAAGGTGTGAGGGTATAGGTTTAGGGGTGAGATGTTGAAGGTGTGAGGGCATGGGTTACAATGTCTGCGGGGGTTTTAAAAGTAGCTGTTATATTGCTTGAGGAGGGTGGGGGAGGGGGGATTGATTATGTGTGAGTAGTAGATTCGTATAGAGGGAGCTAATGTGTGTGTGTAAGGGGGGGGGGGGTTGTGTGATGTATATGTATATAATATGTAAATATATATATATATATATATATATATATATATATATATATATATATATATATATATATATATATATATATATATATATATATATATATATATTACTTTTATATCATATACCACTAAGAAACTTAATAAATTTCCTTGTGCTAAACGCCTTATTATAAATAGCATAAGTGGGTGTTGTTTCAAATTTTAAATTTAGAAATAAAAAAGAAAATACGCTCATTTACTGCCGTCCTTATCAACCGCATCCCGAAACGGTTTTTATCAGCGTTCGTTAAAGTTTTTGTTTTCAACAGCGCAGATTGCTGTTTTATGAAAGCTCGCCGCACAACAGAAGCCAACACCGATAACTCTCCGCAATTAGCAGCAGTTAACTCCCCTCTTTTGCTCACTAGGATCATTACTAAGGCATGGCGAAATTCACAGTTTTCAGTAGTTTGCCTACATACGTCGAAAATCTAAAAATAGTTGCTACTATGGTGTTGCTAAATAATAATTATATTAAGTTCAAACTTTTTTTTCATTATTTCTTTATCTTACACATTTAGAAAAAAAAAAATCTTATATATCTTATGAAGACTCGATTACATTAAATCTATTTTAAGCATCTCGGGTAATTCCTATTTCACTAATGAAGCGCACGTGCGCTAACGTGAGTATTGTTGATGGCAGGTGAAATCTAGGTGTAAAAGACTTTATGTGGAATAAGATCTAGGGGTGTTTCATGGGATGTGGGTTTGTGGAGTACGAAACGAAATATGATTGCGAAAGTGTGAAGACTAACGACATGTCGTATTCCCGCCAAAAGTATTCAAGATACTTACTCTAGCCGTACTATAAAAAAACAGAAACATCACTGTAAATAGGGGGGGGGTCGGTCAGAACAGCAAGACCATATTTAGATTGAAACGGATGAAAAAAAATAAGATGTTTTATTTAGGGATAGCAATAAAATCGTTTGGCGGACGTCGGTGACACCCAAGCACACCGACAGATGTTTTTTTTTTGGGGGGGGGGGGGGGGGGTGAGTGGGGTTTGGCACCCACTGTTTTAACTTGAGATGACACCCACCTAGTGAGCAAAACTCACAGCAATTGAAACCTGTTTGAGCACAGTTTAACTTCGTTAAAAAATGTAATCTGTCTTAAAGACACGCATTGTTATAATATTATAGCATTTCTTTTAGTAGTAAGAGTTAATGTTACTCTTCAAGGATAGTTGAATGTACAAAGTCTGCGTGGGCACAAACTCCGTAGAACTAAATGTCTACACACGGTTAAATTTCTCTGATTCTAGGTGAGTACACATTAAGTCTGTGGGTAGTCTAGAACGACTTTCATTAAGAGACTGCATTGACGCCATATAATAGATGACAGCTATTTATTATTTCTACTGATTTAAAAAAAAATGTATATTAACTTAAATTTTTGGAGATAATTCTCTCGAATGAAACTCTCTAATCTAAAATATTGTTACCGTACCCTCTAATCTAACACGCTGCAAATATTACCGTACACTCTAATCTAACATATTGCAAGTATTATCGTAGCCTCTAATACGCTGCAAATATTACCGTACTCTCTAATCTAACATATTGCAAGTATTATCGTAGCCTCTAACACGCTGCAAATATTACCGTACACTCTAATCTAACATATTGCAAGTATTATCGTAGCCTCTAACACGCTGCAAATATTACCGTACTCTCTAATGTAACACGCTGCAAATGTTGGCGCACTCTATAATTTAACATATTGTAAGTATTATCGTAGCCTCAAACTTGTTGCTATAATACACTCTAATCTAACACGGGCACATATTACCGTACCCTCTAATCTAACACGCTGTAAGTATTATCGTAGCCTCAAACTTGTTGCTATAATACACTCTAATCTAACACGAGCACATATTACCGTACCCTCTAATCTAACACGCTGTAAGTATTATCGTAGCCTCAAACTTGTTGCTATAATACACTCTAATCTAACACGAGCACATATTACCGTACCCTCTAATCTAACACGCTGCAAGTATTATCGTAGCCTCAAACTTGTTGCTATAATACACTCTAATCTAACACGAGCACATATTACCGTACCCTCTAATCTAACACGCTGTAAGTATTATCGTAGCCTCAAACTTGTTGCTATAATACACTCTAATCTAACACGAGCACATATTACCGTACCCTCTAATCTAACACGCTGTAAGTATTATCGTAGCCTCAAACTTGTTGCTATGATACACTCTAATCTAACACGAGCACATATTACCGTACCCTCTAATCTAACACGCTGCAAGTATTATCGTAGCCTCAAACTTGATGCTATGATACACTCTAATCTAACACGAGCACATATTACCGTACCCTCTAATCTAACACGCTGCAAGTATTATTGTAGCCTCAAACTTGTTGCTATGATACACTCTAATCTAACACGAGCACATATTACCGTACCCTCTAATCTAACACGCTGCAAGTATTATTGTAGCCTCTAACATGTTCAGTGTTTCTTCCAGACTTTATTATCCGGGGGGGGGGGGGGGGCACTTGAAATTTTCGGGGGGGGGGGGGGGGGGGCGGTCGACTTTCTTCGAGGGGGCGGGACACTGTTAAAAGTATATATTTTCTATATAAATTATATAAATTTCATTTCGTTCGGGGGGGGGGGGGGGGTAGAATTTTTTTCGGCCCCCTCGAAGAGATGCCTGGAAGAAACTCTGAACATGTTGCCAGTGTTACCG